CCCATTGTGAATAATACTAGTCAGAGACACTTTCATTGTTGTTTATTTATTTGCAACATATTATGAGAATCATTTTATGCTTTAATAAACTATGCTATTGTTGGCAAGTCATCAAACTAATGTTGATAAATGACTTCAATCACTTGTTAATACAGGACTCAAAGAGTCAATAATTATAGATATGATTATATGTGATAACAAAGAAGAAAAGGAAATGGACACACATAATGAGAGAAAAATCATTCTCAGGTATATGCCTCATATATCCCTTAGAGTCATGGTATAAGGTAGCTGTATGATGTAACATGCAGAAAATAGACACTATAGCCAGCTAGGTCACTGTATATTACAATAACAGTGCATAAATGAAGGTATATTCGGTTTGATCTATACACATCATTGGAATGACAATCTATTGTATATTTACATTACAAGCAAATTAAAGAAGGGAATAGCTACATGCTTGACCATGTAATTATGAATACATCTTAGTTGATAGGTTATATAATAACAATAACTACAGTAGATCTAATTTATTCTCTTGTTAGAGTGTGACATTAACTATGTAGCTTAATGACACAAGCAGCACAACAAGTAAAACATAATGTTGTTGATTATCGTGGAAATGCTGCGATTTGAAGCTACAGTACAGTGACAGTGAATCATAATTTCACATTGCATTAAAGTGATACGACACAAGCACAATAAAATGACATAAATATGTCATTAAATATACTAAACAAAAACAATGTGCTTAAAATGTTGAGTACTGTACCAGAACATAATACCATATTGACATTCCCACATGATGTAAAATTTTACTTGATGGGTAGGTTAATATTGTGTTTTTGCGCCGTTTTCACAACATATTGAGAAACTCAAGCATCTTTTACAGTTATTGTAAATTTGGAATTGTTTCCGAAACAATTCAAATTCCGGTGGTTGTTGATTGGAAGATATGCATATCATTAACAAAAATCATGTATTTTGTTTTTTTGCTCAAAAATTAAAAAGTTTGGGTAATAGAGAAACCTGACCTCAGCATGTACATGAAGAGACATAAGGGTCACTCATTGTGAATTAGAAATGATATGTACTTTTTAAAGTGTATTATTCACCATAATGAGCTAGATACATGTGATTTTTAATGCATAATTTTGTAGCTGGATATTGTGGCTTACTTTTAATCCTGCTAAGTGCAATGCAATTGAAAATGTTAGAAAGCTCACTGATGAATACATGCCAAGAATGCATACAAGTACATTTTTAAAAGTCCACCTTGAAAAAATTCAGGTAATGGTTGTACATTTACATGAATATATTAAAGAATAAATGATTTAATAATTTGGAGAAAGCCCCAGAAAAATTTGAATAAAATCGTTTGTATATGCATGGTTGATAAAAATATGTAAATTGGCACTGTAACATAATGCTGCAGTTGTGAAGCACTGACCAATTTAAATAGTTAATTTTAATTTTTAAGGATACTTGATTCAGTATTATGCCATACCAATAGATTTGATCACAAGTTTTCTTGCCAGTAGCTTTGCTTGTACCAGGTTGCTTTCAAATATGTCAGTATATGGACCCATATTTAGTAGTATGTTCAACTAAGACAACCATTTAAGATCATGCAATGATGGACTGGTTCTAACGTTAAGAGTTTTGAGAAGTGTTAAACAAACAAATGGAACCAATATTTTTACATTTGACTTTTGGCTACTGACAGCAGAACCAAAGTACATTGAGAAAATGACTGGTCACAGATGCTTCAGCCTTTATCTATTATAGTTTCATAAGTAAGATTTTGTGCTATATAATTGTTATGTACATGTGTTTTTAAATTAGACTCAAATGGCTTAAAATTGGTAACATTGAGTATCATGCTCATATAATTATCATCATTGGCCATTATAGACAGCTGTCTGCTGCCAGTGTTTCAAACAGTACAACAGCTTAATTTTTTCATGGACAAGCAAAACTTTGACTGCATGACCATTGTGGTTCTTATATAGTTGAAGAAATTGCAGAATCCACCCCATATTTGTTGTCTTTTGGCTATTTAGTTTTAATTAGGCATCACTCATTTGATCAAGTGGGCCAATATTCACTATGAGGGTATGAAGTTGAAGTGAAATGTTGAGGACATGTCACTTTTTGATTGTTGATTTAAATTATGACTATGTAATTTTAGTAAAAGAAATCTTTAAAAAAACATTTAAAAACATCACTCAATTTTCATTTGACACAATTGTCTGCTAAATCACAACAATTTAATTTTTAATAGTTTTGTCTTAGGTTGAAATAATAAAAGTATAAGTGACTGAAATCAGTTTAATACAAGTGCAAAGACCTGAGAGGCGACAAAAAAGAAAACTCATTGCAAAAAAGCATACACTGCGACAATAAGCTACTTAATGATAATAATCATAATGATATTAACAAGAGTTGATAATAATAATACAATACAGATTACAATGTACATCTAAACTCTTTGTTCTGTTTCAAAGTCAATGAAAGACTTCCACAACACTTCAGGCATGTCCATCAGTGGTTGATTAATAGCCAAGTGATAAATGGCTCGGGAGCGATCCACATCTCCCAATATGGCCTCTAACTCTGCATACTTGATCCATGTAATCGAATTGCCAGGATCATATTCCAAATATTTCTCATATATCTTACGACAACGATCGAATTCACGCAATTGAAGCTCTAACTCTATGTAACCTTTAAAAAGCTTCGGCTTTGGACATTTACCAATGGCCGTCCCCAAGACTTTCCTCGCAGTAGCCAACTCTTTCTGTCGAATTTCAAATTGGGCATACAGTAGCCATACTTTAGCAAAAGTGAATTGAGAGTGAGGAATAATACTTACACAAGACTTATAAACTTCTCGAGTTCGATCAATATCATTAGCAATTAGCTCTTCATAAAGAGCATAATTAATCCATAAATAGATGTAACGTTGCCAATATTTCTTCTCTTGAAGTGGAGGTACATTGGCAATTACACGCTCATATAAATCTCTCGTTGAATCCAGGCTGGCACTAGATTCCAATAATTGTATGTAGTCAAACCATGCATCACCACTATTTGGATCTTTAACCTCTTCTTCATACTGAAATTTACGCTTATTGATCACTACATCTTCAATGCCAATTCTGTCTCCATACTTTTCTTCAAAGTGGGTATAAGCTTTGAATAAATCGAGAGCCTGTGTTTAGGAATTTTATCCAGTGCATACTTAAATATGGTATGTGAGCGCTCATATTCTTGACAGCTAGCTTTCTTCAAATCGGGCAAAGGCTATATATAACTTTTCATCCAACCCTTCATCTCCAAAGAATTCAGTAGCCCTTTCGAAAATACTCCTTGCATTATCAATGAAACCCTGACTTTCTTCAAACCTAGCATAACAGATCCAATTCTTTGTTTCTGGACAAACCAAAATAAATCTTTCATATATCGACCGTGCCTTATCAACCTCCTTATAACGCAGCTCCATTTTGATATATGAGAGCCATGCCTGTTCCTCTGGTTCCCATTCCATCCATCTTTCAAAAACTCTTCTTGCGTTTGGAATGTTTCCCAGCTTCTCCTCCATATACGCATATTTGAACCAAAACTGATTGATACGAGGTAAAAGGGTGACCACTCTGTCCCATATATTTCGTGCATGATTAATCTGCTTATTCTTCATTTCCATCTCGGCGTACTTCAGCCGTAAGGTGATACCATAGATACTATATACCCCTGGATATGAAACACGGCCCGACCGGATGTTCTGAGGCTTGTTTCACCGGAAATACGTCATATTACGTTTTTCATTCAGAATAAAAATAAAACAATGATAAAAAGTATTATTATTGCTAATAAAAGTGTGATTTTATGTACAATAATACAATAAAACTTGACATTAATCATGCATTATAATTGCTAAAACTTTCCTTTTCTTTTAGTATATGCAGTCTACCAATGCATGACTTTCCCATCTCTTGTCACCTAAAAATGATGATTTTGACAACACAATTGCACCAAAACTAAAAATACACTCCTTTTGAGAATAGGCCCACTACAACTACCTATTCTCAAGCTACAAAACCATAT